GACGTTGAAATCTAGTTTCGAAAACGCGATGCGAATCGAACATCGTCCTCTTCTCGCTCTATACGTCCTATACCAAAAATCGCTCATAATCTTTTTCTGTATCGTTAATTAAAGCAAAGTATACATTTGAACAGGGACAGTAAAATGTGAATTTACCCGAATTATGCATGGAAAATGAATTATTTTCAGTGTTGTTGTGAATCTCGATTACCTTTGGCTTATTCTATTTTGCGAAACGAAACGAAACCAAGCGAAACTAAAAGAATGATGGGGTATATTACCTAATATTTAAAGATAACTTTCACAACAATTTAGGAATAAACGTTTAGGAGGATTTTTAATTTTTTTACATATATTTTGCGAAATCGACCATTTTCATCTTGCGTTGACAATGTGACATCTTTTATGTTACGAAAATAAATTTAAATATTTCAAATTAGTAAATTACCAAAGCCGTTGTATGACACGAGAATGGCTTCATCTTCATCCTAGGTTACCGCTAGGTGATTATAGTCCATTTTGCAAAATAGTAATTGCTCTAAACTTGCTACTTTGCGAATTGATTTTATATGGATAGTGAAATAGGAGGTGACTAAGATCTATGGGAATATACTATAATTTAAAGTTGAAACGTATTTTTGGGACCCGAAAAGAAAGATATTATTGTGGGGTGAAAAGACAAAACAAAACAAAAATGCAAATTTCCGAGCGCTCGGTGCGGCCAGTTTGTTGTCCCGTAGGTCAGGTTGTGTGCCCTGTTCTACGGTGTAACCCCGTGGCATCTCATGACCTTATTTGGTAAATGTTATGAAATTTCTCCTCGTCCCCTTCCCCTTCCCCCCCTCGCTATCAATTTCACATCAATTAACACACGCCATTGAAATTGTGAGGAAGACCATGGCTTCTAAGGAATTTTTATGCTTTCTTTTCGTCTGTTTCTTTACCTTGGGAAGTACTACCTACTGTACCTTCAAAAGCGATTGTTCCTATAGTGAGTCCTGTTGTACAGATGGAGTCTGTAGAGAGAAATGTTCCTACTGTTCGTACAACAGCGAGTGTGGAACGAACGAACAATGCTGTGATAACAAATGCATCAGCATTTTCTCCACTTGTTCCTGTTCGTCCACCTTCGATTGTGGCATTGATGAGCAGTGCTGTAGTAGCACATGCATCAGTAGTTCGTCTTCTTGTTCCTGCACGTACGACTCCGATTGTGACATTGGAGAGGATTGTTGTGGGGGAGTTTGTTCATCACACTGTGGTTGGAGCGGTGGAGCTATTGCAGGCGCTATTATCGGCACAATTATTTTCTTCGCAATCATCATTTCCATTGTGTCCTGTCTCTGCTGTGCTTGTTGCCCCTATTACCGCTATCGTACACCCGGTACTGTGATCGTCACCGGCCAACAGCCACAACAG